TCAGGTGATGCAGTTTGGTTACAGTCACACCGCTTAGGGGGGAAGAAGGAACAAAAGCCCAAACAAACATCTCTGTGCAGTTACTCGCAATTAGCTGCAAGAGCGTTATGTCAGCTCATGCATGAAAGTTTCCCTAAGGTGTCCTCTGAAGCATCGAGTATTAGCTGCTGCCTCAGGCGGGAAGGCGGCCCCAGCAAATGCAGCCCCTTCTTGGGTGTTTTACAGCAGGATCTGGTTTTTCTCGCATCTGCCAGAGATAAATTTTGCCTTTACACATTTTTATTAGAAAGTTATGAGCACATCTGCATTTGATTTCTTCCTCTTTTGCATGGATGCTATTTACTTCAGAATATGCTTCTATTCGACATGGAAGCTGGTAGTTAGAAACAAATACAGCCCCAACCTCCCTCTTCCCGTCAGTGTAACTTCATTCTTCCCAGAGCCCAGTGAGAATCTGAACGAAGGAACTCCCTTACTCCTCCACATCTTCTTCTTGAACAGCACCGAAAGCCCTGTTTTCCTTAGGATGGCATTTTTAAATGTAACGAGCTTATCTGATGCATTATCTGTTTCTTTGCTCACCCCATCTGCATTTTACTGTGCCTGCTTGATTGCATCAATGTAAAGATAGCGATGTCTCCAGGATGCAGCTTTATATGTGTTACTAGCATTGCTAATGCTGAGATCAGTGATAGCACTGAAGTCATAAGAGCTTTTTTAGAATAAGATCATTGTCAGGCTCCTTGGCTTTGCAAGGCCATAACTAACACTTCACGTATTAACTTGAACTAAGATTAGGAAGCACGATCACACACATGGAACAGCAGTAGCCAGTAGTCTAAAAAACATGGCATTGGCTGGCTTCTTTCTGATGTGAGCAAATATTTGGGCGGATGAAGATTCTGAACACCAAGGATCAAGGAGGTCAGATATCTGGGGAGCAAGCATTTAGATTGCCAGCAGCACTGCCAAGGTGAACAACATATGTTTGAGCGTCTGGTTTTCTTAAAAACCAAGCTGTAGCTATGTAATACAAGCAGCTTTTATTCTTCCAGTCAGACCTGGACATTTTGAGCAGGTGGAAGCCAATAACCTCTCAGGGTACTCTTCTGCTTTCTCCTACGTAACAGCCTGCATCCATGGGCAGAAAAATGCAATTGATGCTTTGCTAACTTTATAAGTAGCTGTCCCTTCTTTTCCTCCCACCCTATCCTTTGCTTTACACATCCTTCTCCTACTTTCTGACAGCTCTCCCCTCCAGCTTCACACTGTGACCCTGCCCAGTCCTGTTTGAAGGCAAGTTGCCTTTCATCCATTCCCCCCTACAAAACTGCCAGAAATGCTAAATTAAAAGCTGTGTAGCTCAACAGAAGTAACAGAGCATGGTTTTCCACTGAATTTCTGCATCTCGGTTGATTGACTTTTTAGCTGTAGCACAAACACAGGGATTTCACTGCAAAAAAAAGCTTCACAGAGAGGTTTGCCCTTCAGGCAATAGAAACCAAGTCTTCAGTGGAAGATCTTTCCTTTTAGGAAGAACTTATACAGGCTATCTTTTACTGCTTTGGGGCCACCTGGTGTAGCGCTCCACGCCTTGTGCTCATACTGCTGGCTTCTATTAACACGATTTCTCCCTGCTTCTATAAAAGTCCGGAAGAATTTGATATTTTAGAGCTCTGTCAAACTTTGTTGAAACTATCTGCCAATTTCAAAAGTCAGCAGTGCTCTGTCCTGTTTCTAAATTAAATCAGAGTACTACTTGCCTCATAACATATTGGCAAATTATTCCATAGCTGTTTACAAAATGCACTTGCATTTTGAGCAAATTATTAATCTTAGCTTTCCCTTAACTGTGTATTAAAAAAACCTTGCTAAGAAGTCAGCCTTTGGCATTTCAGTGATCTTAAAAGTGCTTGCTATCCTCATCAGAATTTCTTGGACAAACTATTTTATACAGTAGTGTTGTGTGTTGTTAAAGATCCATGAAATTTCATGTGTCAGCAGGGAACACAGTCACTTAATATTTGCTTTTTGAGAGACCTCAATACAGGAAACTAGTGGGTACTGTGAATAGTCTGTTCTGCCTACAGCTTGCATTTGATTCGCCTTTGCTGAATTTGAACTTCAATATAGTGTAAGGTTTAACACTTGCTTATTTGTTTCTATGGCAAACTCTGAAATGCTGTTAAACAGGATCAACTGGAAACAAGTCCTCACCAGGGTCCACAGGTACTATCCTGATGACAGGACCTGCAAGTTCACACACTTCACACAGTTTCATGCCAGAAATTGCATGCTGCTAGTAAAAAATAAAAGCTCCTATATTAACCTGGCAATATATTTACTCTTGAGATGAATATCGACACACCCAATACTTACTGCAGCTGGAAGTGTTTATTGTAGCACATTTACAATGTGTAAACATTCAGACAGAACATGTTTAGCGTCCTCCATCTTTGTGCACAGCATTATACATAGTCACACACAGCTACGGGAATCTTGCTCACAAATGCTAGTTAACTAGAATATGCTTCCCTTTGGTTTTCTATTCTGCTGCCAGAGTGAATAGACTATAGAAAATAAGGCACCCATTAAATGGTATCGCAATCAACAAAGTTTATAAACTAAGTTGTCAAAACTGAACTTTCATAAGATCTAATGTTTCAGATATCCACTGACAGTACCAGCTTATTAGGTTGGTAGGAAACATCCAGTTTCTAAAGCGTGGAGAGATATGACTCTCAGAGATACATCTTCTGTGTATTTAACTTAGTTTAGACTTCGGGTTTACAGACTTACGTACCAGAAGAAGATTTCAAATTAAAAATGAAAATATGTATTTTCAAAGTGCTTTTGTCTGATTTCTCCTTTAAAAATGTAAGGTCAGCACACTGCAAAGCTGAAGACAGTGACTGATCCTACCTAGCACTGGAGATAGGAGAACATCTACAGTTCTCCACTCAACTCACCCCTCAAACTTCAGTTCTGGCCTGGCATATCCCTGGCATTTCTGAAAAAGAGACTGCCACTTAGATCAAGTGGTACTTATGTTTATAGAAATATTTAGTTTATGCTCTCAGCCCTATCTGAATGGCTTGAGCATCAATTCACTGTAACGTCTCCAAAACCATATTACACCAATTTTCATAGTTTTGGTTTATTTTTACTATGAGTGCTGAAGGCTTTCGAGTGAGCTTTCGTTCATTCAGTGACAGTCAGCCACAGCTAGATAATGCCTGCAGTACAGAGGGCTAGGTTGGTGATCCAAGTTACATCTGACCAGCACTGTTTCCAATTATAGTTGAAAGCTACTGCATTTCTAGTCTACTTGCCTAATCTAGCCAGATCTCTGAACACAGACAGCTTTATAATGCCCTTTGCATTGTAGAACTACTTAAATGAGGAAACAAACAGAACAAAACTAATAAAAAAATCAACACCCTAAACCCCCTGAACCAGCAGTGAGAGTGCCTAATCAGAAAGACTGTAAGTTTATCATAAGCTTCTGCCACAGGCTTACAGGTTTTTCAAGGAAAGCAACTTCAGGCTTTAGGTATAAGGTTTTCCACCAGCTCCACTGTCCAATTCTTCCAGTGTGTGCTGATTTAAAGCCTCCATGATACACTCCCACAGTCCATTAATTATGTTCACTACAACCTGCACAGGAGAAGGGGGAAAAGTTGTCAGGTGCATGCATCAAAATCATACACAAGGAGATGTACACAATGATGTACAAGGAGACTTAAAAATGCATCTGAACTTTTTAGTTACTAATGCGACATACACTGATAAGAAACGGCTATGAACCTCCATAAAACATTTTGAACATATGAAAGAATCAAGAGAAGCCTTGTGTGCCCCATAGCACTATAGGATTATTTGAGGAAGGGAAGCCATATAACTAATAATGCAGCATTCCACTTGAGATACCTACTTTTTTCCTACAGCTACAAAGTAAAACCAGAAGGCCACAGTACAGACCCAATGGAGCAATGTCCAGTATTTGCAGGCAACTGCAAAGTCAGCCCAGGTTTAGCTTCTAGAGAAGAAAACACACTATTTCCAGTTAAAAAAAACCAGTTTGTAACAGTAGTGTGCATGGTATGAGGCATGTGTCTGAGTCAAGACATTTGGCACCAGGATACAATCATTAAGAAGTGGGTAATCTGTTTAGGAAACAAGGCTCTGAAATGAGGCACTGAAATGGCTACAGCTCCATTCAAGTCCAGGGTGCTGCTGGCCGCCCAGCACTCCTGAAGAACAGGCTGCTTGAGAGTGACCAAATTTTCTGTTTCAAAGGCTCTCCAAGAGTCCTTATCCCCGCCTCACAGTCCGTGGGTGAAATATTACATCCCCACCCTGTCCCGCCTCATGTTGGGTTTCTGGCCTGGCTAAACCGAGAGGTGTGTGCAAAAAAAGGAAATATTAACATGTTGATGCCCTTTACCCAGAAGCACGATGCCCTGCTCTGCTTCATCCCACACTTCCATCTCCAGTAAGTTGCTGGGTCAGAACAGCAGCTCTCTGCGCCGGGCTGGCTCCCTGCAGGCTCTGTTCTCTCCCTGCTTTGAAATATGTCCACCACGTCCCCCTCATAAATGTATTATATCCAACGTACAGCAATACAGCACACTAGAAAAGCCCGATACCAACGAGCAGTGAATGCCTTTGATGTTTTTAATCAAGTTGCAAATACTTTAAGGCTCCCCCACCAAAGGACCATTCAGCAAGCAAGGGTTCAGCAAGCAACTCAGACCTGCTGCCAGCCAGGTTAAATATAAACCATGTATCCTGCGGTCAGTATTCCTGAGGAAAAAAGCTTCAAACAACTGAAGCATTAAGCTCTCCATAGTTAGGCAACGCTTTTACAAGTGCTGCCGTAGTATCTTAGACTGCATGCTGTCTTAAAACCTCGGCAAGCTGATTCTCTCCCTCAGTTTCAGACCTAATACCATGTAAGTCAGGACACCTTACTGCACAAAGTGTCGTTAAAAGGTGGAAAAGAAAATGCTGAATGACTTCTGTACATCCTGCCTATTGCACTCACTACAGGAAATGTTAATGCTTGCACATTGTATATACAGGGTTCCCACATTACGGTATATATTATCTAATTTTACTATTTTTCACATGTTCAGTGATTCTTAATTTTAAAAAGTTCCCTCACTTCTCCTAAGGAGTTTGTTGGCTGCAGACATTTTGCTAAACTGGTTCATTGTAGAGCATCTGAAATAGTTCGGGACTTCTGTGGTGTTATTTTCCCCTCCACCCCAAAAAATACAAGTACTCTTCATAACCATGATACCGGGCACATTTTGTGGTGGTTCCTTTTGCATCTAATTTAATGTATGATTTTAATATAGGTACATACCATTACAACAACAGAAGAGGGATGCAGAACTCTCCTCCTCTAACCTGTACCTGCCAGAGTTTGGTAAGTCTTTGCACTGTGACATAAATGTCTGAAGTTCTGTCTCCGGAAAGCCATCTTGCTGGTAGTGCTAAAAATTCATATTTAGTTAAACCTTTAACAAGGCTGAAACTTACAATAACCCAAAGCCTCCCAGACCACTTCTCATACATTGCTCGAGTCTGAAATTAGAAGACTCACAGAACTAAATAAGAAATTACTGCTTTTTTAGTAGATATTTAGCTTCAATTGGAGAAGGAAATCAGATAGACTTGTAAGAAAATTTTAGGGAAATATTAAAAGCCTC